TCTTCTTTCAAGCTCAGCCACTCTTTAGCTGTGAAGCCTTGGGCAAGTCACTTCACCATTCTGAACCTTGGCTTCCGCATCTGTAAAATGGGTATAAAAGTATCACGCTAACTGTGTATGGAGCGCCTGCTGTGCTTTTACACGTTACATTATCCCTTCTTCACAGCAACCTTGTAAGGTGGGATTATTAGCCCATTTTACAGAGAAAAACGAAGCTCAGAGAGGGTAGGCCATTGGTCTAAGACCTCACAGCAAATAAGTGTGGTTCCAAAGCCTGCACACTTTCAACTCCCTATCCTGCCTCCTTCACAGCTGCGGTTTTAAAGAATCAATTGGCCTCATGCAAATGGAGAAAATTATAAAAGGCAATTATATCATCTAGATGTGAGTCACTGCACTCCAATCCTAGCAAGGACTGGGGCCCTTTGTAAACTGTGACATGCTATAAAAATGTGAGTTCTTCATCTCTCTCTTCTTGAGGTTGAAAACGTTGGGGTGACGCTACAGACAATTAATATTTGGCTGACTGACTCGGTCACAGACTGAGACGATGCTTTCGGGCAGTGTTCAGGACTTCATGTAGCTGAGATGTCCCTGCTTGAGGGTGAATGGGGGGTGGATACAGGCCAGAGTCTCTCCTGGAGAGGCTGGTGTCTGACCAGCTGATCCGGAAACAACCAAAGATGCTGAGGGACCACGGCAGATAAGGGCCAGGTGCTTGATGCAACAACGATCATCCCTCTTGATAGCCCTTTACCATGGCCATGGATCTTCAGAAAATGTAGCTCTGCTTTGGGGAGAGTGGGGAAATCTTTAAGGGTAGTAATACAAGCTTACTGTGGTAAAGTGAGAATTTTCAGATAAGAGAATTGAAAAACAAAACAAAACCCCTATAATCTTACCCCCAGAGATGACCACTGTTGACATTTTGGTATCTGTCTTTCCAGACATTTTTCCACTGCACAGATATACTGGAAAATTGGGTTATATTGCAATATGGTTTATTACTGGTTCTTTTCACTTAATGACATATCATGAACATATTTCCATATTAATAGATGTTTGATCACATCATTTTATTTTATTTTATTTATTTTTTTGTGTGAGGAAGATTAGCCCTGAGCTAACCAGCTGTTGCCAATTTTCCTCTTTTTGCTGAGGAAGATTGGCCCTGGGCTAACATCTGTGCCCATCTTCCTCTACTTTATATGTGGGAAGCTGCCACAGCATGGCTTGATAAGCAGTGCGTAGATCCACACCCGAGATCCGAACCTGCGAACCCCGGGCCGTCGAAGCAGAGTGCGTGAACTTAACACTACGCCGCTGGGCTGGCCCATATCACATCACTTTAAAGGCTGCAGAATGTCTTTTCATATGAATGAAGCACAATTTATTTAATCAATGTCCTACTATTGGATAATTGAGTAGTTTTCAATACTTCACCATTAGAACCGTACTTTGATGGGTATGTCTGTAATCAGATCTTTGCATGGGTCCTTGATTCTTTCCAGGGGATAGGTTCCCAGTGAGGGAAATGCTGGATCAAGGCTATGCACATTTCAAGGCTTTTGATAAGTACTAAAGGTCTGCTTCTGACACTCTGCAAGTCAGGGGCTCCTCCAAGCTCAATGCAGAAAACTGTCGTAGCCTCAGACCCTGCCTCTCTCTCAAATCCATTTGCAGGGATAACGCCAACTACCACACAGATGGCGTGCCATCTTCACTGGGTGCCAGGCTCTATCTAAGAGCTTTGCCCTCCAATGTACTACTTTTAGCTCCCTTTTCAGAAGAAGAAATGGAGGCACAGAGAGGTTAAGCAATTCACCTGGAATCACAGCTCTAATGAGCAGTGGATCTGGGGTCACGAGCCTCAACAACCTGGTTCCGGAATCTATGCTGTCCACTGCTTCTCGGGAAGATTCTTTTACCCCACTCCTTGGATCTTCTCCACCACCGCCTGACCTACATTAAGCACCACCATCCCAGCCTGGACACCTGCTGGAGCCCCCAACTGGTCTTCCGTTTCCACTCTGCCCTTTCAGTCTGTTCTCTGCTCTGCAGCTGGAATGGTGTTTTTAAGATGGAAACAGAATCAGGTCACCCCCTACACACACACACACACACACACACACACACACACACGCACTCTCAACCCTGGAATAAAATCCAGACGCATTCATTCCCCAGCTTCTAGGGCCTGCCTCCTCCCTTTCCCCTTCATTCTGAGCCACTCTTCCACCCCAGGCCCACCCACTGCACCTCACCCCTTGACCTCCTTTCACGTCCTGAATTTGGCGGAGCTTTGTCTTACCTCAGGGCTTTGGTACATACTGTCCCTTTGGCCTGGAATGTTTTTCCCTTAGGCAGCATGGCTTCTTGCCATCCTTCAGTGTCAGCTTTCATTTCACTTCTTTGGAGAAACCTTCCCTGGTGGTCTCATCTGCAACCCCTAAGCCCATTTTCCTTTCTGTCCTTTACAGCGTTCATTAAAATTATGTATTTATTTACGGCCCATTACTCCTGAAATGTCTCTTTCCCTCATGAGACTCTAAATGTCATGAGGTCAAAGACCATGTCTATTTTGTCCACCATTATTTACCCAACGCCTAGCACAGCGCCTGGCGAGCGCTCAATAACTCAACAAATGTTTGCAGATGGATGAATGGTCCACAGAAGAAGGTGTCCATTGGTCAAGATCCTTGGTAAACTCTCCCAGCTCTGGTCAGAGCTGTGCCATCCTCCTCCTCCATATCTTCATTTCCTCTTCCCTACACGGAGCAGTGACAGAGGTCTAGAAGAAAACCCGGAAGCATGGGTGAGAGTGTAAGCGGATTTTGCTTCAGGTGTCCACTCAGTCAGGGTAGATGATGTCACTTCAGGGGCACAAGGGGTACTCGCTGCCCTCCCCCCCCTCGCACAGTTCCTGGATTCCTACCACGAGAGACTTAAGGCCATGAGGAATCGCCTGATAAAATACAAACACTTACTATCTACTTAACAATACACATCCAGCAGGTGGACTGAATGGAAGTGTCCTGTCTTTATGACGGCAGCCTGGTGGTGGACTAGAAATCCCAGCGTCACCACTGACTAGCTGGGTGACCTTGGGTGAGAGTCACTTCTCGCCTCCCATATGCAAAGTGGGTGGTTAGGATGGAGAAGTGGTTTTTAAACTTTATTTCCTCAGCAGTTCAACTCTTCAACTTACTCAAATGACCGATAGAGAAAAGCTAAGGGTTTCTGGTTGAAATGGGGAAGTGGGGCTGCAGCCCTCCTCCTTCCTTTTTTTTTTTGTGTTGTTTTGTGAGGAAGATCAGCCCTGAGCTAACATCTATGCCAATCCTCCTCTTTTTTTTTTCCCCTTTTTCCTCCCCAAAGCCCCAGTAGATAGTTGTACGTCATAGTTGCACATCCTTCTAGTTGCTGTATGTGGGACGCTGCCTTAGCATGGCCAGAGAAGCGCTGTGTCGAAGCGCGCCCGGGATCCGAACCCGCGCCACCAGTAGCGGAGTGCACGCACTTAACCACTAAGACACAGGGCCGGCCCCAGCCCTCCTCCTTCCTGAGTCCCCCTTTTAAGGTGTCAAGGGTGGTAGGATTGCCAACCCTTGGACTCTAAAATCTCAGTGCCAGTACCTGCCAGGCTGGCCGTCTGTGTTCTAAGAACAAAGAAGGCAGCAGGTTTGCAAGTTCTGGTTGCAGCTACTTGGGCGCCTTAAATGATCAGAAGGGGACTGGAGAGAACTTTCTGAATCTGATATTCAGAGACTTTAGGCTGTGCAGTTGGTGAATTTCACAGCATTTGAAGTGCAGGGCAGGCAGCTCCTTTGTGTGAGGAGGTTTCAGCCGTTTTAAAAAAGAACGAGGGCCCAGGAGAGAGGAAGCCCAGAAGGCTCACTTAACCTCTCCACAATCTAGAAAAAGGAAATTGCCATCCCTGCCTTTCTGGCTGGGGATCCCGGGTCTTGAAGGGACCGCCCACGATCTTGCGGACACTGGGCTTCCAGGGTTGGTTGTTTGCCACGCCCCAGGGGAACTCTGCTCCCCCACTTCCCTGCCCCACCACCCAGGCAGCTCCCTGGCCTTCGCTGCAGGCAGGTGAGCTCAGGAGGCTGCCGTCCGGGCCACCTGGCAGCTCCAGGTGCTGCGTGTGCGCTGCCATGGAGACGGCCCCGGGGTTGGTGGCAAGAAGGCAGCCTCCCAAAGCTTTGTGGATTTAGGAGAGGGAGAGACGGGAGCATCAAGCCCTTCAGGGTAGTCTGCCTGACCATCCTAGTGCCAACGAAGCCCAGGTGGGTGTCCTGGGGGTTCCTGGGACAAAGGGAGGGAGGAGGAGCCAGAAGAGGCCAAGTATTGGGAGGAGGTTCTGGAAGGGCTGATCCGGGGACCCGGGAAGGGGCGCCTCTCCAAGCTTCCAGGTCAAGGGGAGAAGCTTTGCCAGGGCCCCCTTGCCAGGCCAGGGCTGTGCCCTGCACAGAGACTGGGCAAATGGGCTCAAGAGGGTTGGCCTTGTAGCCCAATGGGAGGAGAGAACGAGGGCCTGGCATTTGTCCCCAGCGGAGGGACAGACCGGGAAATTCACAAAGCCCATCTCTGCACTAGTCAGGGATTTGAGGCAGCGGAAAAGGAAATATCTGACTGTTCCCCTCTCTCTCCCTGGAGTCCGAGAAGCGAAGGGCAGTCACATGGAGCATGAGGGGCGTTTTTATCCATTTCCAAAGCCGGGGTGCAGTCTCATTCAGCGGCAGCTCATTAACGGTGGGGTGCCTCAGCCCTTCGCCCTGTTAGCAGGGACGCTGCAGGAGCACCAGACTTAACTCCCTGGCTTAGGAACTGGGTGATCTGGAACAAATCACTTCCTCTTTTTGATCCTCAGTTTTTTCATCTGTGAACTGTGGGTGGTAATACCTTTTAACGACCCACAGAACACTTAGCCTAGGAGCGAGCACAGGGCAGGAGCTCAATGGGTGTTGCTTTGCTCCTTCTCTCTGTCTGCCAGGACATCTCCCGCCAGACCTCCCGGCATCTGGTCTGAGGATGGCTGAGCAGAAGGGCCGGGAGCCTGAGGCTGAGTGCCCTGTCTGTTGGAACCCCTTCAACAACACATTCCACACCCCCAAAGTGCTGGACTGCTGCCACTCCTTCTGCGTGGAATGCCTGGCCCACCTCAGCCTGGTGACTCCAGCCCAGCGCCGGTTGCTGTGTCCGCTCTGTCGCCAGCCCACTGTGCTGGCGTCCGGGCAGCCTGTCACTGACTTGCCCACGGATACGGCCATGCTCGCCCTGCTCCGCCTGGAGCCCCACCACGTCATCCTGCAAGGCCATCAGCTCTGGCTCAAGGACCAGCCCAAGAGCCGCTACTTCCTGCGCCAGCCCCGGGTCTACACGCTGGACCTAGGTCCCGAACCCTCGAGCCAGACTGGGCCCCCCCAGGACTTGGCCCCTGCCACCAGGCCTATGCCCGTCCCCATCCCCAGCCACTACTCTCTGAGGGAGTGTTTCCGCAACCCTCAGTTCCGGATCTTTGCCTACCTGATGGCTGTCATCCTCAGCGTCGCTCTGTTGCTCATCTTCTCCATCTTTTGGACCAAGCAGTTCCTTTGGGGAGTGGGGTGAGCGTCTGTTCCGGACAAGGAACCAAGCCTTTCTCAGCTGCTGCTGGGTATGGGGACTGCAGAGCCCCATTTGGGGCTGTCTTCCTTTGTAGTATTGTTCATTTTTACAATCCAGGGATCAGTTAGGCCATGTGTTTGCTTCTGGAAACAGAATTCTACTATACTGAGAACCTCTGAAAGCTAAAGGGCTGGAGAAGGAGGTGAAGAGACCTGTGTGTGTGAACCATGGAGTCACGGAAGGGGAGAGAAGCAGATCTGTGGCTACAGAGCTATGTAGCAAGTTGTGCCAAAGGGCTGGACGACGGTACTCTGGAACCTGACCTGCCCAAAGAGCAAGTTGCATTTCTCTTTGGAGCTGCTTTGAACTCAGTTCACATTTTTTGAATTGCTCTTTTTATTATGTGTTGCTAAAAAATTTGGAAAGTGAGCCTCAACTCTGTGAGCTAATGTGTGTCTTCAGTTTTCTCTTTGGATGTCTTACTACGAGTCCCAGTAAAAATGGTCTGCGTTCATTCGTTCATTCACTTACTCATTCTACAACGATTTATTTGGCTGGTGCTGTGTCAGAACTCGGGGAAGAGCAGAGCAGCATCCAGCACTGGCAGAGAGCCCTCACCAGCAGGGAGGGCAGCTCATTCAGCTGCTTCTTGTACAAGACAACCTCTTGTTGGTATGTGGTTTATAGAATGTTAAGAGTATAAAAGGTTCAAGGTGAAAGCAGCCAGGGTCAGTAGATCAAAAGCCTGGGATTTGGAAGAGTGTTTACTCCTCCTGGGAGGGGCAGTGTGCAGCTGTCACTCCCCTCCCTCAGGCACTATAATTCCAGCCTCAAGAGCTAAGGGTGAGACCCTGCATGGCATAAAAGCCTCAGCTCCCATCCCGGGCCACGCAGGCAGGGGATCCTGGTTTTCATTTTATACGACAGAATCGAGGAACCAAGGAAACTAGACAGAATGTAGACGCTCGGGCTGCTGCTTGACTGCAAGTTACCACCTCTGCAGTGTCTATAACCCTGGTTTCTGCTTCCCCAGTTTTAATACCGCCTGGTGGCTCAGGGCTCTGAAACAACCTAAGTGGTTACAATGCTATCACAATTATGAAAAGATAACATTTTGAGTTTTTTGAATTTGTAGAAAAAGCTTTCAGAAGCCAGACACTGAGTCACTTTTATTTGCTCTAACATTTTGTGAGTTTAATGGAACTAGCTTCTATTAATTCTTAGGGGTCTTAATGTACAAGATATTCCAAAATAGCCAAGACATATATTTCAAGTTTAGTAAAACCAAATGGTCTCAAGTTCCAATGTGAACAAAAAATTTTCCATTACAAAAGTGGAAAGACCCACACACCCCGCCAGGGGACCAGCGCCTACCTCTCCATTTGCGCCATCAAAGATAATTACACTAAAGCTGGGACTCGACCTCTCCCCACTGACACATCTTTGCTCCTTAACCCTGTGGCAAGTAAGTTAGGCAGTGATCTCACCACGTTCAGATGAAGCTAAGACTCCTCAAGTTAGGCTGCCTCATTCAAGGTCATGCGGCTAGCAAGGCGTGGAGGACTTTCAGTCGAAATAGAACTCACACTCTTGAAGTGGCTGATACACCATCCAAATGAGAAAGACAGATTTGAGGTTTTTTGGATAGGGAAGGATATACTTAACTTTACAGCATCTCCTCTTTTCACAGTCACTAGTTCTAACCTTGGGGCAGTGCCATCCTCCCAGGGGGCCTTTGCAAATGTCTGGGAGCATCTTTGGAACTCCAGTGAAGAGGGTGGGCTGTGCTGGCTTTTAGTCCTCCAGAGGTCAGGGACGCTAAAACAGGCTGCAGTGCTTACGACAGTTCCACGCAACAAAATATCATCAATCCCAAAATGCAAATAGTTTCTTGTCGAATGACACTACATGAAGTAGAAGTGGTGACATTACTAACTCGCTTTGGCATGAAGTCAGACCAAGAGATGCAGTGACCTGTCAAAAAGGCAGTATAAAGGTGGAATAGTTAAAAAGTTCAGGCTTTGTCCAGGAAACATGCTGTACAGGCCATGCTGGCTGGACTGGTCTTTTTGTCTACATGCTCAGGAAAGCCCTTATGGAATCTTTTCACAGGGTCATGGACAGACACACCAGGTTCCACCACTTACTAACTGGGTAACCTTGAGCAAGTTACTTAACTTCTTTGAGCTTCAGTTTCGTCTGTAAAAGGGAACAATAATTAACTCATAAGACTACAAGGATTAACCGAGCTATCTCCATGAGCCTGGCACAGTGTCTAGGCAGAGAGTAAGTGTCCTGTTAAGTGGCGGTTATATTTATTTCTACATTATCATGAAATGCCACCCATGGTTTATGCCCCTCAGCTAACTGCTTTCTTACAATATTTCCAGTGAAGAAATGTATATTCCAAACAAGATTTACATTTTGCCAAAGGCTTAGGTGAAATGTTTTTACCCAGTCGCTAACCTCTAAATCCCTTGGAACAACCACCAAAAAAAAAAAAAAAAAGACAAGTTTAGCAGAATAGTAAAATTTAAACTTGAAAAACTGAAAACTTCTGTTATCACACTATACCCAAATTGCATGCTAATACACTAATGTTCAGTATTAGTTTACACATACTACAAGGGAGTAATGAAAAATAATTTCTTTTCATGGCCACCTATGGAGGAAATAGAGCCAATTAATACTTAAATAGTGAAGAGCCCAACAGAGGGTAGAGCTGAGAATTCTGCTTAATAGGTATACAAGATATGCGACTATTTAGTTGTAATTGGAACCAGATTAAACAGAATATTTACCTATATATCACACATCCATAGTTTGCAGAATAGAGCTAGACAAAGCCACTCTCAGCCTCTCCAGAACAGTGAATGAAAAGTGTTTTGAACGTTCAAGAACAAGCCACCATATAAGCCCTTCTTGAATTCTCTCCACAATCCTTTCTTTTTCCAAATCCCTGTATTTTTGTGTGAATTTACTGTACACTCTCAGAGGTTGGTGGTTGCATATTTGGGATGGAAAGAGCCTAAGGTCACCTCTGCATGGCCAATGAGAATTAAAGTCTAGATACAGTTCACTGGTAGTCTAGCCCACAATGCAACAGCCCTCTCTGTTTAAAAAACATTATTGAAGGGCCGGCCCCATGGCTCAGCGGTTAAGTGCGCGTGCTCCGCTACTGGTGGCCCGGGTTCGGATCCCGGGAGCGCACTGACGCACCATTTCTCCAGCCATGCTGAGGCCGCGTCCCACATACAGCAACTAGAAGGTTGTACAACTATGACATATAACTATCTACTGGGTCTTCGGGGAAAAAATAAAAAGGAGGAGGATTGGCAACAGATGGCCGGTCTTCCTCAGCAAAAAGAGGAGGATTAGCATGGATGTTAGCTCAGGGCTGATCTTCCTCACAAAAAAAAATAATAAAACAAAATAAATTAAAAACATTATTGAAAGTGCTTATTAAAAAGATAGAAAGTGGAGTTAAGCCAATTTGAGATTTGTTATATCTCAAACCAAAAAAAAGGGACCTCTATGAACCAATGACTAAGACTCAGAAAATGCTTTACAAAATAATTCTTTAAAGGGCAGTTTTTATAACAGGATTTACTCTGTAGCAACTGTGTAAAAAAAGAATAAAAAGTTTCTATTTAGAAATACCCATCAGGGACTTTTTCCACAGTTACCCTGACACAAAGGGTGCATCCTTTAAAGAAGCAATAGAAAGAAAGTTGCACAATAGAGACATCATGTTTGCTTTCCAGAAATTTCACTGAATCTTGACACAATGACCTAGCTTTGGGGTAACATGAAGGATGCCAAACTTCAAAGCAGAATGGAAGACATTTTCAGACAAAGCAAATGTTCAGTTCTGAGCTTCCCGATGCTGTCAGCATTCCAAGTGAACTCAACAGGAAGAGGTCAAATCTTCTTTCCTGCATCACCCTGAGCAGACCTGTGGTTTACCTCTTCACTCCCCAGGTCTCAAGGTGGAGGAGAGGTTCTCGCTCTGCCAGGCATTATGTAACCAGTGCGTGGGGAGATGTGCCTCTTTACTCAAGGCTTCCAGACTGCAGTCCAGTCGCCTTGCTTTGTGGAACATAGGTAGTCCTGAAGCACGTACCATGTAAAGGGAAGCCAAGTTTCAAGAAATAAAAATGGAGCCAGTCACAATCCTGAGTGCTGTGAGAGAGGCAATAGGGCATTCAAACAAAAGATTAATAAAAATAATGTCTACACAGTTCGTGGCAGGGCTTGAAAATGAAAATGAAAATTTCAACCATGAAAGGGGTTCACCAACACCCAGGGACTGGGCTGCCTCCCTGGAGTGGGGGCTGACATGGAAATCCAATTCTACTACGGGGCTATACACGGTAACTGGCAAAAAACATGATAGAACAAAACACATGAATTCCTTTCTTTTGAAAACGGCTCCTAAGGGAGAGCTTGAAGTTAGAGTCCTTTTTCCATGGTCCTGCCTATTCAGCCATCCAGAGCTTGAAGGTCCTGTCATATGAGCAAGTGGCTATGAGCTGCCCATCGGAAGAAATGTCTAGGCCCATTACTTTGCCTTCATGGCCAGCCAGAGTCTTCAGTGGGGACCAGCCTGGGTGGGTCCAGATCTTGGCTGTGTTATCATAGGCACCAGTGAGCAAGAAATTCCCATGGATAGCTGCAGGAGAAAAGGGGAGTTGCTTGAGGAATTCAAGTATTCACAAGACCATAAGAAAATAAAAGCACAAAAATCTGCTAGAACACACTATTTTGAAAGAGAAGGTATTTCCACATGCAGAAAAACCCAACAACACTCTGACCTATGTTCCTTCTAGGCCTCCAGGAAAAAGGGACATCTATATGCAGACTGAGGAAAACAAATAACATTATTAAGGTTTTTTGGCTCTTTCCCTGATAGACAAGCTGTGCAGAATATTACAGATTCAGTGCTTAGAACTTCCATGGAGAAAAAAATGAGTAAAGCATTCAGGGAAGTCATCTTTACTTCCTAGCAACAAGAAGCATGCTGTGCCATAGCTCTGTCTGAACACATGGTGGGGGAAGGAGATCATAATTTGCTCCTTCATCAGAGTCCAAATTCTCTCCTGTTCCATTTCCAAGTTAAGCTAAAGCCTGGCCTGCATTCCCAGAATGCAATCTGTCTGTTCTGTGGTTAGGCGTAAAACAGGAGGAAGGCTTACGCTCAAACTTGACACCAGTCACTAAGTTTTGATGGGCGGGGATGGTATAGACGCAACGCCGCTGTCGAAGGTCCCACACTTTGCAGGTGTTGTCACCACTGCCAGTGGCAATGTGGTAGCTGTGGGTCAGAGGTAGTATCAAAGTCAGAAACGAAGAGTACTTTCTGACCAAGAACCCTCTCCGCCCCTCATTCAGTGAGTTGTTTTACCCATTGGGGGAGAAATTTATTCCATAGATTTCCTTCAGGTGGCCTTCTAGGAACATGATACAACGTCCTGTGCGCAGGTCCCAAACTCGACCAAATGCATCCAGTCCCCTGATAAGAGAATATAAATCAACATTCGAATCCAGTTCTCTGTGGAAGCAGGTGTAGGTAAAAGGTGAGACTACTGAGCTGCCCCTGGCTATGTGGAAGAAGCCTTACCCAGTGCCAGCCAAAGAGCCATCTTGATGGAAGGCAATGTCATACACACCCATGCTGTGGCCTTCCTGATGGAGGATCTCCTCTTGAGCCTCCAAATCCCATAAGCGCCACGAGCGGTCATAGCTAAGAAATCAAACTGACAATTAACCAGCAGATATTTATTCACTTCCTACAATGTGCAAGGTACTATCAATAGCTGTAATTCAAGTTATGCTTCTGAAACTATTCATAGGACCATATTAACAAGAAATCCTTTCCTGGCATAAACAATGTCTCAACAACTGAGCATATCTATCTTGGGTGCTAACAGGGAAACCATGGACCACCCATAAACCTACTCTAGTGGCTATCTGAAGAACAGAATTCCCTCAGAATGGCCCAGCAAAGAGTCTGCTGCCTTCTTTCGTCCCCAATTCCATTGTTATGTCCTTTCTTTCACTGAGCATCTATACATTTATTGGGGCCTAAATTGGATGCCGGGGATACAAAAATCCGTCATAAACAAACAGATCAATGGAACAGAATAGAGACCCACGACTATGTGGTCAAATGACTTTTTTTTTTTTTTTGGTGAGGAAGATTGGCCCTGAGCTAATATCTGTGCCAATCTTCCTCTATTTTTGTATGTGGGATGCCGCCACAGCATGGCTTGATGAGTGGTGTGTAGGTTCGCGCTGGGATCTGAACCCACGAACCCCAGGCCACCGAAGCAGAGCACGCGAACTTAAACCACTACACCACTGGGCCAGCCCCTCAAATGATTTTTTTTTTTTTTTGTGAGGAGATCAGCCCTGTGTTAACATCTGCCAATCCTCCTCTTTTTGCTGAGGAAGACTGGCCCTGGGCTAATATCTGTGCCCATCTTCCTCCACTTTATATGGGACACCACCACAGCACGGCTTGCCAAGCAGTGTGTCGGTGCGTGCCCAGGATCTGAACTGGTGAACCCCGGGCCGCCGCAGCGGAGCGCGCACACTTAACCACTGGCGCCAGCGGGCCAGGCCCCTCAAAAGATTTTTAATGAGGCTGCCAAAGCAATTTTTATAGGGAAGGGAGAGTCTCTTCAATAAATGGTTGGAGAACTGTCTACGTGCATGGAAACAAAACAAACTTATTAAAAAAGTGGGCAAAGTACCTGGACACTGAACAAAAGAGGATATACTAATGGTCAATAAGCACCCGAGAAAGTACTCAACACCAACAGTCATTAGGGTAATAAAACTGAGAACCATGAGGGGCTGGCCTGGTGGCACAGCAGTTAAGTGCATGCGCTCCGCTTCGGCGGCCTGGGGTTTGCAGGTTCGGATCCCGGGTGCAGACCAACGCACTGCTTGTCAAGCCATGCTGTGGCGGCGTCCCATATAAAGTAGAGGAAGATGGGCATGGATGTTAGCTCAAGGCCAATCTTCCTCAGCAAAAAGAGGAGGATTGGCAACAGATGTTAGCTCAGGGCTAATCTTCCTCACAAAAAAAAAAGAAAAGAAAGAAAGAAAACCATGAGGGCCGGCCCTGTGGCTTGGTGGTTAAGTGCGCGCGCTGCGATGCTGGTGGCCCGGGTTCGGATCCCGGGTGCGCATCGAGGCACCACTTCTCCGT